TAAACAATTGTATATTAATACTTAATTCTAATATACTTAATGATCAAGAGATAGACAGCAACAGCTTAACTGCCAATCGGCCTCCCAAGCGTGGCAACTACTGGAAAAAAAAACCCAATTAATGGAAGTCCTATATTCAACAGTGGAGAGTTAAAGGTTGATATAATGATACGAATATATATCGTGGTTATTTTTATAATTAATTAACTCACATAAATCAATTTAAAAAAGGATCAGTATGCAAGTAAACATTTCAAATCTAATGTAATTTTAAACTAATTAATTAATAACACAGTGATAAGTGTGTATATTATACACAGTCGTAAATATAAATTAGATTCATCCATTATTTATCATTCATTATATGTATGGCATTATTCCATATTAAGTAATAATATTGTCTGTAAATCACATTAATGTGTTTTTATAACAATTCTTAGAGATTAATGAGGTGATGTCTCGGCATGCATAATTCTTTACGGTCATTTAATTTAGTGTTATAACCTTTTGATGAATGTTAAATGTAGTGTATACTTAAATGGAAATTGTACTTTATATTTAATATCATAATTAAATCTGAATTTCTTTACGCGGCTACTCAAAATCTTTTAAGTAGGCGAGATAACAATGACAGATTTTAAGGATTCTTTCGATTTATCCAAAACAAGATTCTATGTAATAACTACTTAACACCATTCAAATACGTTCAGACATTTTTATGATTGAATATTATAGACAAGAAACTCAAAATCTGAGTTTCTCGTAACACTGGCTGCGTTATAAAAAACTTACTTCTATTTGGAGGATTAAACAGTTGGTGCCTTTGTGAAGCACGTATTATTTATAGAAATAAAATGTTCAGTTTATATATAGTTTACGGCATTAAAAGCCTTGTATAATTTAGTTCCTTGTAGAATTATTATGTTTGAACTTTACTTATCAGCTCAATCACTTTTATAATCGATACTCAATCTTGAATAATTTTTTTAGTCCTATTCTCTTTAAATTATCATTCACACAGCTCCGAATCAGAGTAACCAAACTTCAAACTTCCATGTTAAAAAAGCACGTCACGTCAAAATTAGGAATAAATAGAAAAGTCAGAATATTCCTTCATTTGGTAAGCGCGTTTGGCTGTCTTTGTTTATGATGAATTGGAACCTATTGCAAATGACAAATGTATTTCTGTAAATATTTTATATACAAAATCACAGATTACATCATAACATTGATTTTAGCTATTAATTATTCTGCTGTACAGACGGTTATAACAAATGGTCCTAAACCACTTAATCCAGTAACTCTGCGCAACAGATTCTTGGCTGTCGCTCCATCTAGTAATTATAGTCTTAGACTCCCTACGTTTACTTTTCGTCATCATCATCATCTCAGCCATTATCTGTCCACTGCTGAACATAATCCTTCCCAAAGACTGCTATAAAGAACAATCCTGAGCCACCTGCATCCACAGACTCCCTTCAATGCATTTGAGGTCGTCACTCCATCTAATGGACTGTCAAACTACACTGCGTTTGCCCGAACGAGATTGCCACTCAAGAACCTTTCTTTCCCATCGGTTGTCGGTTATTAGAGCTTGCTGTGTACGTTTACCTTTACAACTTGCTTATTCTGGGGGAAAAGGATTGATCGTAATGAGATTTAACAACCTTATTGCTAACAATACACCCTATCAGGTCGAACTCCATACGATTTCCCCTGGAAACTATAGTGGTTATTTCTTGTTCAATTGGTCACTATGGGCCACTGACCTGCCTTCATCCTCGCCTATCGCCCTTCACTGGTGCCCCACCAGCGTATACCAATACCGCAGGCGGGGTTACCATTATATTTTCATCTATTAAAAAAAACATGCTTATTCTTCATTGGTCGTTATAGTTCTCCGAGCAGAAAATACCCGGAATTTTCAAAGTAGATGCTTCTATACTTATACCTTGTATATTTGTAGTATACGGCCACATGTCGTCACGCGCAACTTGCCTTAAAATTGTTTTTTGGATGATGATGAAAGATGAAGCACAATATGATAAAAAGTTGTCCCGATGCGTGATAAATATCTTGTGGCACGTGCTTGCATTAACAAGCTCCTGTCACGGAAATAAGTGAACAGTTTAAAAAAATAAACACTAATGGAATTTGGATGGGAACGGTATGAATGGCGCTTAAAGTCAAGCTACTCGCTTCGCTCATTAGCCTAATGGCAATTGGGTCATCAAAACGACTCAAACTGCACGTCCGCAGCACCGTTATCGCCGAGTTTGCATCCGCGACAGTCGTTGCCCCCAGATTGGCGGAGTGAGAGCGGACAAATCACTTCCCAGATTTTGTGTACTCACTGCCTAATGGATAGGGTTGCCGATGACACCTAAATAGGGTTATCACTATTTGGAAATGTATTTTTTTATCGATACACAATTTCTAATTAAGTTCGCAAATCCATAATATTATATAATATATTTAAAATGTTACTTTCTGTACATGATAGTATAGTAAAAAATAACAAATCGTAAACTAACTCTTCGTGATATTTAATAACTTTCCTCTAACAATATGATGGTTTCCTGCCATTCTTTCGAGTTGAACAAGTAGGACGGATGATGCAAAAAGATTGAAGCAGTCTTCAAATGTCCTCGTTCTATTATAATAGGTAAACACTTATTAAGATATAAAAACAGATGAGTATATGTTTTGAAAGTTTCCGGATTCACATTTCTATACATATTTAGTTTGAAACGATAAAAATTTAAATTTAGTATCAAAAAATGATCGGAACTCCTACATTTCTATTATATAAACGTTTCTGACGTTGATGATATCTCTATACTCTCCAAAGCGCGAAACAAGAATCTCTTGACAAAATGTATTGAATAAATTCCTTATTAATATCATAAATATGAAAGTGAGTTTAATTGTTTGTTCTCTTATAGCGCCTTAACGGCTTGACCAATCACTATACAATTTGATATACACATACTATATAGAATGGAGAAAGATATACACTACTTTTTTACGCGGTCTGTAAACATATTCCGGTTACACGGACAAAATCGCAAGTAAAAGCTAGTAAACAATAAATATATAGATTTTATTGTCACGTAATCATCATTATACCAAGTCTATTCCATCCCATCGTTGGAGTCAGGTTTCTCGTCATAAAAAATTTATACTCCTCTTCCTATTTATAAAATTCTTTTATGAAACTTAAAATAGCAAACGAGCGGACGTGGAAAGTTGTAACAATCATATATAGACATAAGCAACATCATTCCTGTGAATTAATTACCAATATTTTAACTTCATAGTTAACTACGTCTTGTTTTTATCACTGAACGCTTACGTAAATCCTTACTAATGTTAGCAATAGAAATGTGAAAGTGAATTCTTTATTTATTACCTCTTAGCTTAATAGCTCAACCAATTATAACAAAATTTAACATATAGGTATGGAATTGGAATGGAGGAAAGGAATTGATAGTAATTGGAATCAGCGGCTCCATTGCTAGCAATATTCTCTGTCAAATCCACACGGTCCCCCTCTTGAAACCATCCTTGTTTAATTCCAGGTGAACATGATTACTCACTATGATACGATATACGATGAGCTAACTGATAAATCTTCATCTTCGCCTACCATCACTCACTGGTATCCCACCAGTATATCGTCATAGTCGTAGAATACTGACGGATATATATATGTAATCTTTGTCAGATCCGTCAGTATTCTACGACTATGACGATATGTCTATAACGCAGATGGGGTTTTCATTTAATTTTATCAAAATTAAAAACGATGGATGGAGACAGGCATACGCTATTTTTATCCTCATAACAAATTCGGTCATAATACAGGAACAAAATCGTGGACGAAAATTTATAGTCAAATAAACATAAAACCATGCTCCACAAACGTTACGAGCCTATAACGTAATAAACGAGAAACACAGCTCTCAAGACTCAATTCTACCGAATTAAAGTTTCACTCGCAACAATTTCTTAATTCACCCGAACATCTGACAATGATGAATCCTCAAGAATCATCAAATACACATTCGTAGTAACCCTATTAGTGTAGCAATAGCTCAGCAAGCGATGCGGTCAATGTACCGAGCGTCACGCGACGGCGAACACTCTAATGCGCTTAGATTGCTACCTACTTCAACATCCAGTTTATCTAGACCTGACTAATCTGGGCACTTTACTTCTAAATGTCCTGCATTAGTGGCAATAGAGAGACGCGGGAGAGCTCTTCTTGCGATGGCTTCGTGCGTGTTGCATTGGCAAGTATTGCGCGAACACAGCTATTTGCTGTACTGTCTTACATACCCTTTGTATGTATTTTAAATGGAAAATAATGCCTAATGGCAAGATCTTCTGTTTTTCTGAGTTTCTTTCCTAACGTCTTTGTTTTTTTATTCGTTTCTTCATTCTATCTATCCAAACTTTTTAATAATTGTTTGTGTGCTAATACAAAATTTATCTACCTTTGATCATATACCTAAGATCATACCTATGATCAGCAATATTAGCAGTAGTGCATAGTATCTTAAAAAAGTCTGGCATAATTACGTACGCGACTTTTTCTGTACTTCAATTATCAATAATATTTTGTCTAAAATTGTATCGTTTTTTAAAAACCTATTATTACACAACTAAGCACGGGATTCTCCTCAGATAAAGAGGATTTGTTTATTATTATGAACCAGAAGAAGTCAACTCAGTTTAATATAGAGTTTTATTTATGCCCTTAGTTACTTACGACATTATAAGAATGGAACGATAGAAAACACTGACAATGATATACAGTCACCGTCTTCCAATATTGTATTTGTATAAAAAAATTCACCACATTTGATGGATTATATTAATTTATTATTTATTATGAATTTATGATATTAATAATTGTTGTATTGTGTAATATTTTTAGAACTTGCATTAATAATGATTTCGACACAATGTGTATTGTTATGAAATAAATGAAATGAAAAATTAATACATACACGTAATTTAGTTAAAGGTGCTATATTTTCAGTATCGTTCTTATATTTCTGATCTTCGGATTTTGTACATGTTAATGACATTTTCTTTAAAATTATATGTTTCAAACAAATACTTGACCGCAATTCTTATTCTCGCCAACAGTAAGGGCAGTCGCTAGAGGCGAGGTCGTATCCAATTGAACTATTGCTGTAAAGTAATCATCTTGTGAAGCATCATAGCTTATTTAACCATTTTATATTTATAGTCATCATTATCTTCTTCCTACCCTTATCCCAATTATTATATGAGATCGGCGTAATAAGTTTTTTATCCATATTACAAAAAGATATGGCTTATAGTTTTACGACCGGCCACCTGCCTAACGTCAACCCTCTTTGAGAATACTTATAATTATGTGGAAATTACTTATAAGTATCTATAACATATTGTTTTCTTTGGACTACTACTATATGCGTCGCCGTTCATAACTAAGGATCCCAGATGGTTTTAATTCTAGTCGAGCTTCGTCGACTAAAATACTACATGTACTTTGAGTGTAGAAAATCCGGTCGTTAATAAATTAAAATACTATTGTATTCATAAATAAATAAATAATTTATTTCTCTCCAGTTACTTACCTAATATCTAGGGCTGGGGGAAAATTTTTCATTGTAGGCCCTTTGGACATTGGAGTAAAATATTTAAAATTAACAGTCAGGTCATTAGAACATTTTGGAAAATTATTTTTTATCTGAATCTTACAGTTGGATCCCGTAGAAATTTTATCAAAATCGGTATAGTAGTTCAGTTTTTAAATCAAAATAACTGGTTTTGTTACAACTGAAGCGGGTTTTTGTGGAACACACTCTTTAATTATTAGATATATGAAGCAAAATCTTTACCTTTTAAATATTTATATAAGGTCAAATCTCAGATGGCAATTCCACATTACTTTGACAATGTTTTGACAAGACAATGGAAAGGTATTATATTTTAATTACTTATAACTGTAATTATCTAGTAACATAGTCATCTAATTAATATTCATTTCTGTACGTGAACAAAATGTAATTCGAATATAATACATATAAATAATAATTATCGCTAAATGTGTTACTAGGCAATAAATTTGAGAACGACTGGATCAATTCAGCTATTTTCAACCGACTTTAAAAACAAGGAGGTTCGCAATTCAGTTGTATTTTTTTATGTTTGCTACCTACATTTGCAACATAGTCGTAAACTGATTGGTGACATTTTTTTTTATCAGAAAGGATATACCTAAGCATAATCCTCTCAAAACTCAAGTCTTACTAGCAGGTAGTACTAAACTTATCTAAAACGTAAACCAATCAATGTTAGCACCAATAATAGTTAGTTTTAATTGTGTAGTTATACCTTTCAGTGAATCAGTGAAAGACCTGGGTGTGATCATTGACAGTTGTCTAACTTGGCAACCACAAATAGAAACGGTCAGTAGGAAAGTTTTCGGATCCATTAGCTCATTTCGAATACTGCGTAATTTCTTGCCTATAGCTACCAAAATTGCACTCCTTACTTCATATCTCAATCCTTACTTCTCTCAATTCTTGATTATTTCAACACTTGTTATCTGGATTTTACGGAAGACCAAGACGTCTTCAAAACGTTTTCATCAGGTTTACTTTCGGTCTTAGAAAATATGATCATATTTTCCCGTTTCCTGCTAAGCTAAAGTGGCTTTCCATTCATTTTCGACGGTATACTGACAATCTTTCACTGCTTCATAATGTCCTTTTTAACCCGTCCTCTCCTTGCTATCTAAGGGAGCGGTTAGACTTCCTCAATACGGTTCATTCTCTTAATCTGAGATTGTCTTCGGCTGGAGGCCAGCTCCTCCTCCAGGTGAAGACACCAGTACCTTTCAGAAGTTTTAATGATGATTATGGAATAGTCTACCAACTTTTATACAGACTATACAGTACCTATCAAGTTTAAAGCAAAAATTAAAGACTTCTGAACAAGTTGTCATATTCGTAATTTATGACTAACAAACATACTTACTTAAATATTTTCATTTTTGATATTACATGTGTATGTATATATATTTGTGTATTTGTATATATGGATATATGTGTACTTTTATGTATTTATATATTTGTATATTTATATGTAGGTATATATGGATTTATTTGGGTATATATTAGTAACTTAAAGTATACATTTATATTATTGTACGTATCCTATATATCTATATGTATTTAAAAAACGAACAGAGTTTATGGTCTCAGTCAAACTGTTTAAATTGCTCTTCTCCATCCGAAAGATGCCTGGAAGAGATCGCTCTTAGCAATAAGGCCGTCCATTGTTTTCTTAGTGTAATGTTTTCATGTAATTGTTTGTATTTATAGTAAGTTTGCTATTATAATCTTATGGATGAAACAATAAACATTTAAAATAAGAAATAAATCTATCTATCTACTTAATGATTGATCGCATAGAAATTTTATCAAATTCGGTTCAGTAGTTTAATTTTTAAATTGAAATAACTGCTTTTATCACACTGGAAGTCGGTTTTTTGTTAAAGATTATCTTATTATCTTTCAAATAATGGATGAATATCGAGAAAGGTTCTTACGACAGGAAAAATTTCCCAGAAAAATGTATTGTTATTGTAATTTTTTAACCACACAAACTGTTCCTAACTCCCAATTTCCAAGATTTTATTCAAATAATGACTTAGCATTTTTTTTTCTTAGCTTTTGACAAAACGACGTCTGCCAAGTCAGCTAGTAACCTATAACAATACCTAGTCAACGCTAAAAAATATATTTACACAATGTAATTTAAAACAATTTATAATAAACACTGGAAAGCCTGTATATATAAATTCTTCATACTACACATGTAAGTGCTTATTTATTTATTTATGCATTGTATAAGCTGTCTTGTATATTAATATTTGTAACCAAAAACAGACTATAAAGAGAAAAAGAGTGACAAAGTACACCCCGAGATTTATCCACTTAAGTTTTCTTTCAGTCTACATTGAGAACCGAAAATGGAAAAATATAATATGAATGTCCTTTTAATATAATAACAATAATTAAGAAAGACTCTAATTTTTATGTTTTTTTGTTGTTATTAACGGGTAAACTCTAAAACTTAGATTATATAGATAGAGTGTCTCCATACAAATGCTTCGAGAAAAACAGGTCAACTTTTTCATACAATTTTGCGTGATAAATAGTTATGTGTGATTCCTTCATAACTTCTATATTTATTTTGTCTTATAATTTCTGTATCTTTTTAAAAACATAAATACTCTTTTTATTTATTAAATAATACGTCAAGATACGTAAATATATACAACACTGATAAAACAAACGACAATTAGCTGAAAAAAGTTGACCAGTTTTTAAAGCTGTAGTCTCTATCCTTATAATCTAAGCTCTACTAATCTAAGTACTACTAAACTAATTTTAAAAATTCTCTCATATAATAATAATGTTTATTTATTTATCTCGCAACTTTTTTGAGTAATGAAACATTTAAAGTAATACCATAGTACATAATACAATATAAAACTACATTGTCAATGAATAACATGGGTTGTACATTATTTTTAAAATATAATGAAGGGATAAAATTGTTATGAATGTAGTATTGTTTGCAGTGTTTGTGTAAAGGATCCAACTATGTAGGTATTCTCTTCCAACAAACCCAAAGTGAAAAGGAGCATAAATTACCAGCGATATTAACAGCATACAAAAAAAAAAGAACCAGTACGGTAACATCTAAAGGGAAACTTTGTATAAAAGTCGTTTGCTTGGGTACCTCTGTCCCATTTGTCACAACTGCTTTACGGTTGAAACACAAATGATTTGTGTTTCAACCGTAAAGCAGTTGTGTTTGCATGGCTGTGTTTCGGTTTGAAGGATGGAATATGGTGTGAATTTACAGGGTACAGAGGAATAACACCGAAGTCCTCAGGAATGGCAACGCATGGGGTATCATGGGCGAAATAGTATACTCTGTTATGTCCATGGTACTGCTCATGTCTATAGGCGACGGTTACCAGTTTCCATCAGGTGGGCGGCCAGCTTGTTTGCCATTCTAAGTTGTATAAAAAAAATAGAAACAAAAATCTATCAAAACTTTTTTAGCAGCTTGTAAAACCGAATCGCAAATAACACAAAATAAACTATATAAATAAATACTGCATCTCTGTCCCCAATAATATCCACCCCAATTCACTTTCGTCCATTGATCACTCCCATTTGGTCGGAACACCTCTGTTGTGTTGCGGTAAATTTCACCATTCAATAGGTAATAGGATTCCGGGTTCCCTCGTTTGACAAAAGACGATAATTTGCCGAATTCCTTATCGACCCTCACTCCATAACCATATATTGCTAATTAATTTTAAAAGTAATAAAGAATAAAAAAATATTAATTAATGCGCATGCCAATAACAATTACAACAGAAACATATACAATTATAAACTTAAATCAAAAAAAAAAACACACACACCCACACACACAAATAAACTTATAATTACGAATGTATACGACTCAAAAAATGGTCATTCTCAGCTAAGTGTATAAACCATTCATACCTAATGCCTAAACGCTGATATTCTTTGAAACCGAAAAATTTTTGAACACTTATAATTACATACATTAGTTTATGATCAAGATAGATTTAGATATATTTAAGTTTTTAATACCATATGTATGATCTTTAAAAGTACAAATGTTTTATCAATATTGTGACCAGATTAGAAAGATCTGGAAAATTCAAACAGATTCTAAGAAATTAATTTAACTTAATATTAATATGACTTTAGTTGTGATTTAAATAATGAATAATAATAACAAATAAAAAAAAATAACTATAGAAATATTAGCTTAAGTATTACCTCCTCTTAATGTTTGTAAAATACAACAAATAAAAAGTTGGATAGGAAATAAATAAGTAAATAGTGAAGGTACATGTAAAATTGGCTAATGACATTAACATATGACGACAATGATTCTAATTAAATATAACTGAACACACGCACGCGCACATACACTCACACAAGCACGCACACATGCGCGCACACACAAATGCGCGCACGCACACTCATACACACACACTCTAACAATATTACTTTATTGCCTTTTAATGTATCTGTCGATCTGTAATTATTTATTTTATATTTAATGCATTATAGAACTAGTGTCTGTTAAAAAAATACAAGATTCCTGCGATACACGGCAATAGCTTAGTACAGAAAATGTTGTTAAAGTGTGTTTGTTACCTTATCCAAATATGCAAAAATTAATAAATAAAAATCAAAAATACATTTGCAAACAATTATGTATGCAATTCTTCCTACCCACCTGGTTCTATGTTTTGAAACTTGCTTTCTATAAATTGTTCTTTAAATTTAGTAATAATGACAGTATTTCATACACATACACTATCGGAACTTAATAACAAATAACAAGTAAATAGTACCTATGTAAATAATTTATATACCGACACGTCGGAAACGTCACGACGTTTCGACGTAAATACTGTTTACCTGTAATCGAATCGCGTTAAGTTCAATTTATTTATTTAATCTATTTAATTTAAAACAAATATTGTGACAACAACACGAAAGTTTAATAAACTATAATAACAATGTTATGTAATAATGCTGCCGTCTGGTCCCGGCGTAGAATGGGCCACACCTTCCATTCCTGTGGGTGTAGTGAGAGGCGACTAAAAGAACTTAATGGTCGAAGGATAAGCAGTAGCAAAGCCTAACTGCGGTTGCCATCCCACCTGCCAAACGTAGCAACTACAGGCAAAATCCCTCAATAAGGGGAGGCCTAAGGTGGACAGTTAACCATTGATATTATGATGACGATGTATGACAGGTTTTTTTTTATACAACTTAGAATGGCAAACAAGCTCAGACAAGCTCAAGTCCACCTGATGGAAAGTGGTAACCGTCGCCTATGGACATGAGCAGTACCATGGACATAACAGAGTATACTGTTTCGCCCATGATACCCCCCCATGCGTTGCCATTCCTGAGGACTCAGGTGTTATTCCTCTGTACCCAGTAAATTCACGCCAATGGGTGGTCGTCACTGTCCTTCAAACCGAAACACAGCCATGCAAACACAACTGCTTCACGGTTGAAACACGAATGGGACAGAGGTACCCAAGCAATCGACTTTTGTACAAAGTGTTTACACTACGGCAGCTTGTGAAGTTTTTGTTGTCACCACTTTAGCAGGATATTTTTTTAATGGACGACAATTAAATAGTAATCCCGCCGCGCAGGGGGGACCACGTGGAGGTCGACCTAACGAAGTATATTGCTAGCAATGGGACTGTCAGTCCGCATTACTAACAACCCCCCCCCCCCTTACCGTATTACTCATGCCTATACTTTGTACCTGTGAATTTCACAATTATGAAACCACTTGCAGACACCTAATATTATTTTTTCTAAATATCTCTTATGTACTTACATATATCGTCTAGTTACAATTATGTTGTCTCCTTCTATACTTATAATAAATCTGTAGAGAGGTCAATTCTGTACATGAAATATATTTCCAAAATAACTATCAGGGGGTGATTAGTGATCGATACTGATGCCAAAAATGCAATCAATAAAATTTTTGTCTGTCTGTCTGTATGTTCGTTATAGAAACAAAAACTACTCAACGGATTATAACGAAACTTGGTACAATTATTCTTCATACTCCTCGGCAGGTTATAGTATACTTTTCATCACGCTACGATCAATAGGAGCAAAGCAGTGAAGGAAATGTGTCTGTTACATCAAAACCACTGAGCCGTGAGGAAGGATATAGGCTACTTATTTTACGAAAAACGACTGAAACGCAGACGAAGTCGCGGGCAACAACTAGTAATAAATAAATATAAAATAGATGTTGTTATATCTTACCCACAGCTAACAAAGTCATAAGCAAAGTTTAGTAAATAATAAGAATGAATAAAAAATTGTAAGACATCTTTATACCTATCAACTAATAATCAAACGGCAACTTTTTTCCAACTCGATAACAAATCGATAATCGATTAAATCGAAAAGTAGCAAGGTAACGAAGCGTCTCGTTACTCGTCCGCGATATGTCCCAACTGTCGAGATCCAATCGATGTTATTTTACGATTCGATACTGATCTCAACTCAATTTTAACTGCGACTTAAAACGTCAGTCAAGACTGTTTGTGTAAAGCAATTAAATGTGCTGCATCTGATTGCAACTTTTAGATAAAGAGGAACGATGATTTTACTTTTTATAACTTCGGTGTAGTTAGACCTAACTTAATATTATAAAATGTGATAGTTTGAAAAGATATAAGACACTTTGTACAAAAGTCATTTGCTTGGGCACCTCTGTCCTATTCGTGTTTCTACAGTGAAACAGTTGTGTTTGCATGACTGTGTTTCGGTTTGAAAGGTGGGATATGGCAGTGAATTTACAGGGTACAGAGTAATAACACCTGAGTCCTCAGGAATAGCACCGCATGGAGGGTATCATGGGTGAAATAGTATACTCTGTTATGTCCATAATGCTGTTCATGTCTATAGGCGACGGTTACCACTTTCAGTGGACCGTCAGCTTATTTGCCATTCTAAATTGCATAAACAAAATAAAAAAAAAAAAAGAAATTTGTATTTTTATTACTCCAACAAGGAAAATTCGGAATTTCGTACCATGGTAGTTACTCAGGTTAATAAATGATGATTACTATTTTTCAACAAGTGAACCATCAGTTTGTTTGTCATTCTAAAAAATAATAATACTAATAACAGTATGTTAGCCGTTTAACCAATCGCTATCGAAATGGGAACCCCATAAATATTTATTTTCTCATTTACTTTGTAGCTTACCACTAGATGGCGTTATAACACATCAGCTTCTATATTCAATCAATTACCATGAAAAATTTAAATATACAGAGGCAGCACAAGGTCATACAGAGTTCGTTAATTTTAAATAAAATAACATTTGAATTATCTATAAGTTTATTAACTAAACATTTTAAACCTGAGTAATTCATCTGATTCAATTCTATAGGTTCCTATTATGTTTTTCATTTTGATCTTTCTCGTTATTTACTAAAATAATGCTGTGAGAAGTATAAATCCACCTTTACAAGCAAATGCTGACACTGTGTATTTACAAAGAAGTAAACCTAACTATTTACACAAGTAATACAGATGTTACCAGTCATTATAGATGTTCTTAATGTCGCCGCCTTATTGTTTCATATATAAAGTTGACGCAACTGTATCAGTAGACTTACATAGTAACAGCGCGTTCGAATTAAATTAAGCCAATTAAGTTGTTTATACGATAATATCTATCAATAAACAAAGCCATTCCCACGAGCAAACTTCAGAGACACTCGACTCTACAATCGAGATATAAAAGCTGTGTTAATGAAATACATTTCTCATCACCCGTCACAAATCATCTCGGAGCCACTAAAGTCGCTGTCAAAACACAAATAAAGGCGCCTACAGACAAGCGGAGGAAATCAAATAAAGGGGCTTACAGACAGGAAGAGCTCGCCGCCAACCTCGGGTCTTAATGGATTTATTTAGATGTCATTTTTTATGTGGGCGGGGGCTCGCGCTGTGAGACGCCGCGCCTGGCCCTCGATAGTGTGGATATGCCTCACAAAATATATTTTATTAATTGCAGTATAATTTTATTTTTAAATTTTAAAAATATAAATTAATATGTTCACCGTCTGTAATCTCTGATAAGGCAGTGAAACATATTTGTCGACTATTAGTGATGTCTCTAATGTAGAAACACATTAGAGTCCAACGTGAAAGTCATCATCATCATCATGGGGATGACCACGAATGCTGAAATATAAAAGTTTTAATTCTCTTAGATCTGCTTCTTGTCCAAATATTTTTTCATCTAAATTAAATAAAAATAAAATGAAATTAACGATTGCTTTTTTACTGATATACCATACAGACTAAAAAGATAGTTCCTGTAACCTCCAGTAAACTCATACGTAGCCTACTTAAACTAAACAAAATTGATATCAGTTAACTGATAGGTATCCCGACTTGGCACTATTCACAAAAGTGATGTTTCTTTTATCTAGGTATGATGAACAACCTACACAAATAATAGATGGAAATATAAAAAAGAAGTATGGAAGTTGAAAAACACTGCTCGTAAACGATGTAAGTACTTATGTATCGTATGTCCCAGAACGAGGTCGACGAATATAAACCTGTATTAATCTAAGCTACCTTCTGGAATAATCTAGATTGATTTACTAACCATAATCTCAGTACAAGTAGGTATAGGTAATATTCTGTTTAACTTATTATGTGCACTTAGCGCCGTTATCAACTAGACTAAGTGCTACTTGAACAAACTAGCAACAATCTATTATAGTGTATTTATAATTGCATTTTCAGGTCTGTATATCTTTTGTGTAAAGTTTCAAAAATATTTTGTGATCAAGCGATAAAAGATCAAGCACACGGTTGGTGCTTATAAAAAATTGTAATGAATTAAAAATATTATAAAATATTACCTTTAAAAAATATGATGTCGTATCCATACCTTGACCTCCTTGATGTTGTAAGCCCTCCGTTATCCCTTGAACGCGTGTTCCATCTCAGTGAGCACGCTCTATGTGTGAGTAACCCCACGCTGCACACAACTACATTATAATGCATTTCTGGCTCGCACACATTGAGATGCCACATCTAGATAGGCTCGGTTTTTACTTTACACACTAAGTAGTGTGGGTGACCCGACATTGGTATTTTGATTGGTCATGCATTTTACGTGTTTATGACCGAGCGGCTGGCTTCTCCAGTGCGGGCGAGCAATAACAGTGATAATTTATCGCGATCCGCCGCCGCGCCGCCGTCTTGGTACCTAAGGACCTCGTGGAGGCTGTATTTTACAAGGATTGCGAGACGATAAGTGATCAGCTGCTAAGAATAAACCGATTTTTAACATCGTTCCACTGCTGATTCGAAATTCAAATGAGGTTATTTTTTATATATCCTTCCACAGTTATCAAAGGGTGAAATTAATGATTAAAATTTATCATTATTTATGAACACAAACTTATAAGAATGTTTTACTGTTTGCTAGAGATGGGTAATATGCGATATCTATATATTTAGTTCTTCTGGACATCGATATATTGATATCGATCTACATCTATTGCGATATCGCCCATATCAGTCAGATATCTACATTCATTATGAGTGGGTTTTTCTTTTCGATAATATATACTAGATAATCGATACCTAATATATCTGTCATTTAGCCAACATATGTATAGATAATATAGCTACAATATATAGATATTACTAAATATTACCCACTCGTACTGTTTGGACATTTGTATTAAAATGTGTGTGTCCATGCGCGTATTACTTTAATGACCAGATTTTGATAACATACATCAAAAATCAAGCAGACGTAAGTAGCCAGCTTTTCAAAT